ATCATTAACAGAAACATTGGTAAAAAAGCTGTTTCTTTTAAACTGTGGCTTTATTTGAGGTTTGTTAGGTCTTAAGTCCTGTATGTCTCCAAAAACCGGATCTGAGATTATTCTAATCTGGTGTTCAATAAAAGCAACAATATCTCTGAAACATGCTCTTTGACTCGTTCTCTCAAAAATTTCATTTGCTTTTGTTCTCCATTTTTCTCTTAGTTTAAAGGGAAACTTTTGAACCAAGATTTTCATGTTAGCTGGCATGCTTAACTCATCCAAATACTGCAGTTCCTCCATTGCATTGCAGCATTCACGAAGGAACAGTCCAAACGCCTTTAATGCTTTAGCATCTTCACCTTTAATGTTGGGCCAACCAGTGACCTTTTCCATGTAGGCTGCAGTGATATTAAATTCATTGCCAAAATGTTCTTTGAGGAGTTGCTTGGCCACAGCATATCCTCTTTCTGCAGTCATGTGAAGGCAGCTGCGTATGAGGTCTCTTGGTTGCCCCCTGGTGTACTGTTCAAGGTAGTACAAACAGTCTCCTTTAGAACTGGTCTTTGCTTCCACACAATGTTCAAAGGCTTTCATAAATGAGTTGAACTGCAAAGGATCTCCATCATAGATGGGAATTTCTCGGTGTGGCAGTAACTGGCTTGATTGCATTTGAACCAGAAGAGCTGTTATGTCATTCTATTGTTTCATCACATTGTAGAGATCTCCTGCAGGTTGATTTGATGGAAGAAGACTGTTTTGAGTGGAAACATTGGGATTGGATAAAATAGAAGCTTTAGAAGTTTGAACAGCAGGGGGAGCTGTTTGTGACACCAAAGTATTGAAAACAGTGTTGTCCACCTGAGGTGGAACATGCTTTTCATAGGCTGTGTTTAGATCTGACTCAACCTCTTTATCCAACTGCAGTCCAGCATCTTGTTGAAGCTTCTTTGCAGGTTTGATAACCAACTGTGAAGCTTGTGGAAGGAGTAAAGTAGGCCTGATCTTGGGTCTAGCACTTATTCTAATATATGAATCCATTTCATCAGAATATTTAGATGTAATGCTGCCTTTAGTGCTGCCCTCTAGCACCATTAGCTTGGCATTAGCAGCAGCTATTTTAGCGTCCATCTCAAGTTGTTCCTTTCTGGTCTTTAACAGGTATTCCTGTTTCTCCAATGCATGCTTCTCCTTTAAAGCAGCTGCAC